ATTTTCTTCCGGCGATTAGTTGTCACTATGTGGTTAGCTGAACCCAACAAACACAGTGATTGTTGAAGGGTGTTTAACAGTTCCTCATTAGAAATCTTGTCCTGATTTTCGAGGCGGTCATGTAGACAACAAAGAGGACCTGCCGAGTTTAGTAATGCGCGTTGAATAAGCGCCAAATCTTTGTCTCGTTGTTCAACGAATTTTTTGCGGCTGGAGGGAATATAATTCAGAATCTGTTTGTCCAGTAAAGGAGCAACACATGCTTCAGTTTCGGGGAGAGAACTTTCTCCGATTATTTCGTTAACTTGTTCTAAAGTTAGGCGTCTACGCATGTTTTTCTCAAGAAATTTGCCAAAGGGGTCTGAAGGAGACCATCGTCGCTGAGCTGTACTCTCAGGGTCAAAGAACTCGCATGAAGTTCCTTCCTCAGAAACGACAACGTTCGGGTTAGTGATTTCGTTTATATTTGTCGGCTCAACGCCGTCTAAAGGTGGCAAAGAGCCAGCTAAAGGAGCCTCAATGGCGGGATTGTTGACAACAATATTTATATTGTCGAATTCCTTCGGCGAGTCTGACGGGTGAATTGATAGTTGATCGTCGTCGAATTCGCCAGAATACTGGGACGTTGCACCAGAGTTTTCGTTCAATTTTGCCTCAATGGCAGTTACACGAGTGGTCCAGGCCACAAACTGTTGCTTCATATCATTGACACCTGCGAGAATTTTAGTCAAAGTGTCCTCGTTGACGCCAGGGTCAGTGTTATTTTCCCGCCTTCGCTTGTGTTGATCTTGTCGATGACCTCGGTTTTCGGGGTCTTTTGACGAAGATCTTTCGCTTGGAGACGAAGTACGATCACTACGATGACGTTTACGATTAGATTTATCAGGCATCCTGGAAAACCTAAAGCTCAAAGTTAAATAAAGGCTTAAAAAGTTCACAAACTTACCGTATAAGTGTTACACGTGAGTGAGCACGAAGAAAAAAGCCGATTAGGCACCGGGAGATTGGCGTATTTATATGCCGGGTCATGTGACCCATTCTTTTCTTTCTTTTCTCTTCCGGTTCCGGAAGCGTTGAAACGTGAGTTAGAGCACGGTAAGACAAGCTTTACCATATGTTTTCCCATATATTTCGACCGGAGTTTGTGAAGTATAATCGAGTATCCATACACTAAAGTTTTAACAAATATTGTCGCCGAGAAAAATGACGGCTGAGAAGCAAGTGCCCTTTTGAAATGGCTGCCCCCGCCGCTTCACATTGCTTCCGGCGCCCCTGGATGTTCTGAATTCTTCTTCAGTCAGTATGTTAATAGTGTCTATATCCAATGTTCATCCAGTTGAGGTTTGTTGAAGATTGCATCTTGGAAGTGTTTAAATATAATAGCTCTCTGCCTGAGCTTTCTCGGTTGTGATGATCTTACCGTCCTGGTTTATGTTCTGCACATACAGTTGTTTGATGATCCTGTACAATGTTCTTGTTTCTTGTAGTACATGCTTACGGAATGACGCACTTCCTTTGCGCCTGTCGATGTCAAATAATTTCTATAATAGAGCTCGGTATTTTTAAATATATTCACTATTGTTAAAAATGTGTTAATTAACTGACGTTTTCAACAACTATAGTGCTAGTATTACAACACTGCTGCTTCCCGTGTTTGCAATTTACATTACAGTCAAATTTTATCAAATATACAGTCGCATCTGGCTAGTTTTGTACCCAATAGGCTCTGTGTTGCATGAGACGAATAAACAACCAACTTTTCAATGCTTTTAAATTATTTTATCACTTTTTACGATTACGATTAGCATTTCCATAGCGCAAACTTACATGTGGATATGATCAAATGCGCTTACATCAAGTATTATACGGTTACCTAATTACATACTTAGCCTAGATTATTTTATCTTTACAACAATTGCCACCCTGTCAAAATCCCTGTGGGAGGAAACCGGAGCACTCGGAGAAAACCCACGACTTTCAATTCGGCTGCAGAGTGTTGTTCACTGACACACGAGTCCGTTGCGAGAGAGAATCGAACCCACGACTTCATCGGATTTCGCCGGCGAACTTCATTTTAAGTGGGTTTTAAGCACGAGAATTTAACACAAACGCAGATGGAGCATATACACTATGGTCCACTATGTGCAAGATTTTAGAAACAAACCGATGATGCCCTGCAGCAAATTTTTATTTCTGGCCACTATTTTTCGCAAAAACTTTTTCCGGGACAAAAAAAAGAGTCTAAAAATTTTTCCGGACATAAATCAGTTAAATTAAATTAAGGGTAAAAAATTTTTTTGCGGACAAGTTCCTGTTAAAACATGGGTGAAACCCTTATTTTTGAACCAATATCTGTAAAATTTAGGTCAATAAATTCTATTCAATTCCCTCTGAAGGCCCTGTAAGTTACTTCATAACTCTACATTCTGTCATTTAAAATATTTGATTGCCCTGCCAATCCAGATGATTCGTATTTATTAATGCCCCCATACCCCCCTCAAGTTTCGCCCCTGAATAGGATTCATAAATACAAATACTATAATAAAGCCAAAATTTCTAAGAACTTTCCTCTTTTGACGGTTGAACTCAAGCTTTAGACAAGAATATTTTCTCATCAACTATCGGCCACTATCGTCAAAGAAAAAAAAAAACAGTACAAAATATGTACTAGTTAAAACATGAGCAGCCGATCCGTTTATCTGATTATCTTAAATGTCAGCTGGGCTGAAATTTGTCTATGTAAAGTCTGTAAAGTCACTATTAGTCTTAAAATTAAGTTAATCTTGCTGATAAAGTACTTTTTAATCGAAAATTTGTCCAATAAAGCATGAATTTGACTTTCGTGACAAACATAACGCTATTCACCAGCTATTCACTCGTAAACACGTTATTCCCGCCAATTTTCGCTTGCTGACGTTTCAGCCCGGCTTACGTCTCATCCCGCCTAACCGGGCTCATGTAAACAGCCCCTAAACGTTGACATACGGCATTCTTGCGGCTAGCACGAGACGGACTGGACCGATACGAGCTAGCAGAGTCGGGAAGTATGGACTGATGGGGCACTTTTCTTTTTAAAAATTTTATTTGTAATTTACCCTTCGTCTTCGATATAAAACAGATCTTTTAATTTTATCTTTACTACTTGTTTATGTCATATCAAATTTAAAAACACGATTAAAAACCTAAATTGAACTCTTTTAAGTTCTAAACTATACATTTCGCGCCAGGATACCAGCTATTCAACCTCGTTCCCAGGCTCTTTCATCATGTGGAGCAAAGAAGAGGAAAGAGCCTGGGAACGTGGTTGACCAGTTATTTTGCCATTTTGTAGGTACCCGTCTACTTTCTGGTCTGCCTTCATTAACCACTCAGATCAGTAGATCACCATCCAAAAAAGCTCGTAATCTGATTGGCTAAATGAAGTGATCCGTTAATCCCACCAAGCTTGGAAGAGTTTGGGTTATAAAATAAGGTGGCCAATCAAAATCAGCATGTTTTCCAAAAATTATCGATAAAAACTAAGCATAAAAGTTGAAGTAATGCTTTTGAGAAGATGTATGGTCATTTTTCGAGAGTTTAGGTCGAGAGTTGAGATTTGAGAGTAAAACTGTCGGGATCGGAGTCGAAAGTAAGAGTGGAGAGCCAAAAGCAAAGAGTCAACTGCTATGCCTATGGCTGTACATGTGGAGGTAGTTTTGTTGATAAATACAGCACGTCGCCGCACAACGTAATTATAAAACAAGATTGTCGATAACTAGTAATTGGAAGAAACGATCGAACAGGCCATCAGTACAACAGTAGTTTCAATATGAAACACATATTCTGACTCTACAGTGTCTATTTACCTATATCTATGGTAGTCCGCGCAGTATGCCGGCTATGTTTGCCAAATATAGAATCAAAGATACAGAGTTAGTTTTGACTACCTTTCCTTGCTGTAATCGGCAACAAAATAAATTCAAGGTCAAATTCAAGAGGCTTTCTTGTCAAATTTACAGGAAATTAAACAGCTACATTACATATTATGTTTCCGTTTCGAAGACATATATTCTTTTATTCTTTGGAGTTTTAAAACATTTCATCCAAAAAGGCGTAAAACATTATTCCCTTTAAGTTACAGAGTTAGTTTTCATAAGGTTATAATAGCACATACAGTATCAGCGGATGTCGCGAATGACGAGAGGTTTTTGCATCGGCGTTTCCAGCCATTCCTCATTGTGTATGGACTATGGTTGATGATTGGTTCGGAATGGTTACTTAGAAACAATGCACTCAAAACTTTTGCTTTATTAAGAATGCAAGCGTGCTTTCATTTTCGGTCAGATAGGCAGAGATCTCAGACTGTTATTGCTTACGTTTTGTTCTGAGAAACATTTTTTAGAAAGAAGGTCCGAACTATAAATTCGCACGAGTGGAAACGAGTAGCACTGTCTAAATTCAACACCCTGAGATAAGATTGAAGTAGACCAGTAAAGATTACTCTTAAAACTAAAGTGTATTGTAAGGTTAGTATTATTAATTTGACTCTTATATTGTGGTCACCCATATACATAAAATGTAAAGATAGATTATAAATGGAGTTAGGAAACCGTGCACTTGGTAAGTAGCAAAATAGAATTTGTGCGAGAATATGCAGAACAATGGCAAAAAATACATAGCTATTTAAAAGTTATTTCCCAAGATAATTTTATGACATAACGCTTCCGTGTTTAGCACTTGTGACTTACCAACTAATGAACCAAGTTATTTAACCTAAAACTTGCAGAGGTGAGAACAAAGTGGATATAATTTTGCACGTTATTCACGATTAAACATGCAGTTTAATTTTAAACAGGTGGTAGTGGTTAACTACTCTGATCGCTGTAATTGCGTAGCACTGGAATATGTTGTACATTAGAGATTCATTCAATGGAAATTTCCAATTCGAAACCAAAATTTCATTTGTACATTTACAATTCTTCACTAAAAATTAATTTGTATACATTGTATATTTTTCAGCAATGGTGGACTCAAATTCAACTTTTTGCGATCTTCCTTATTCGTCAACCGTCGCTATAGCAACAATCAATGCAATATTTTGTGTGTTGGGTATTATTGGCAACAGTCTGGTGTTGGTAACTGTATACAGAACCATGGAACTACGAATATTGAGTAATCTTTATTTGGTTGCATTAGCTATCGCTGATTTTCTCACGAGCGCCATAGTACAACCTTTGTTAATTGTCATGGTAATCCAAGAAAGCAAGGGGGAGTGCAACAAAACATTGGAAACAGTGTTTCGTAGTGTAGGAAATTTCTCTGCTGCAGCTTCTTTTCTTATTTTACTATTCATTACAACGGAACGTCTACTTGCAGTCTTAAAACCAATCCTGTATAAAAACTTTCATCCCAAACGAAGGTTTGTGGTTTTCATTAGCATCAGCGTGATACTTCCTTTGATCTACACTATCCTGCGTCTTGCAGTGAGCAAGAAAGCTACATCTTATTTTTCTGGCATATTACTTGTGTTCGGGTACATCTATGTAGTGGCATGTTATCTTATAATTCTGCTTCAGTTACGCAGACAAAGTAGGAAGATGAAAAGATCAACTAGCATACCTCATGGAGAAGATACCAGGTCGACACGACATGCTGAGAAGGCGGTCACTTCAACTATGGCATTAATTATTGGTATATTTACAATAATGTGGGGACCATTCTTTTATTATCGTATCTCGCAACCTTCCACTAATAGCGGCGAGGGTTATAACTGGGTTCGAACAACAGCAATCAGTAATTCAGCCCTAAATTTCATCGTGTATGCTCTCCGAATGAAGAGATTTCAAAATGCATTCAAAACTACCATAGTTACGGTATCCATACAGTGTTACGAACGTCGAGCAGTATTAATGCTCAAAACTGAACTTATTATGTATGTATTGGCAAGAATGAACTTGAACTTGTATGTATTGGATCATCAATCACAATGCTGCTGGAGGATATGATGATATTGAAATATGTTTCATTAAACGTGCTACTATGCAAAACTATGTTTCGTTTTTACTTACAAACGTTCCTGAAGCTTCCTGATTTCAAGATGTCCTTCCGTCCTAAATAATATTCATATTGCAGAAATGTAAGCATACCATCTGTCAAAAGTGAACAGTGATCAGATTATTTGCTGACGATACAACTCTTTCAGCAACAGGATCAACCGTAGACGAAATTGAAACAAAACTAAATCATGACCTTGTAAATGTGGATCAATGGCTCGTTGCAAACAAACTAACCTTAAATGAGGGCAAAACGGAATTTATAATAATAGGCTCAAGGCAACGAGTGCCATCTTTCGAACATGGTCCCTTGATTAAACTTGGTGACAAAGTAATTAAGCGTGTACCACATAAAAAGACACTTGGTGTTATCTTAGATGAACAACTTAAGTGGGACAAACATAACGAGGAACAAAGTAAAACAATTTCAAAGAACATTGCTCTGCTAAGAAGAGCTAAGTCTTTCGTTCCCAGACATGTTCTGGAGAAAATGTACAACGCTTTTATAATTCCTAATTTTTACTATTGTTCGACTGTGTGGTATGACGGAAGTAAAAACAAATTGACGAGTACCCCGTGTACGTGTACTTTCAATATGCTGTAATAATTAAGTATTATTGTACTAGTAAAGATAATTAGTATACCTTGTTGTATTAGTGACTGAGTAGTGTGAAGCTGATGAATAGTTAGGCTTCATAATTATTATTGTAATTTTTTATTGTGTACATGGCCCATTGAAAACCAGCGAATGCTGAATGGCTACCGTGTTTAAATAATTTTAATAAAACAATAAAACAATATGTAATCTTTCCTCACCCACCAGCTGCAACGGCGCATCAACTTAGCTTACTATACCATGCACGATTCAGAGTTGCTTTGCTATGACGTTAATTACGCGTCTTAAGAGGCTGTCTCCGTAAAAACCTCCAGGTCAATATGGGACTCAAAAATAGATTTCTCTCATACTCTAGTATTTTGAAGATCTATCCTTGGCAACAACTAAAATCGATCTCATTTTACTCAAAATTCCTTTAAAATATTTTTGGGGGCGATTGATGTTCGATCGGCTGGTAACCAACTTGAACTCCGAATGAAGGCAAAATATTGACATATTTTCAGCGCTATTTTTTAAATCAAATTCATACCTAAATTTCAAAATTTTTGCTCAGAAATATAGACTTATCCTTCTATTTTCGTTAGTGATATGACTTAGATAATTATTCTTTGGTATAAAATAGAAAACAGCGCAGTTATTGACCCTGTTGAACGGATAACGGATATCGTCTCAAAATATATCAACTTTGAAAGCTTATTTCAAAATCGTGGCACTTGATTGGCACATGACTTTAACTTTTTTATAAACTACTAACATTAGTCAACACAAATCGCCAATAATATCTTTCTGCTTTACCATTTGACAAAAATGACAAGCGCCCAAACTTTGTAAAATTTGAAAATGTGTCGAAATCTAGCATACTTTATCGGTAAACCTAATTATTGATATTAACAGATAAAATCACCTTACACTACACTGAATGAAGCTTGATTATGTAAATATATGTCTTTCATCATTATTCTTTGGTTTGGCACTTGAATCAAATTGTTTGAGTACAGTTTTGCTTCACGGATAGAGTCATTCAATGCCAGTGTGTCCAGTGTCTTTGCGGGCCTCAATGCTATCAGAGTCCTGATTGTGACATACGAACTTCGCTCTGTTCACCTCCTGTTAATAAAATGTCTATGTGTCTCAGGGGTTTATTAACAATGTTCAAAGAAATTAGAAAACTCAGAATTAGTCATAGTGCAGACAGAATTTTCATCGGTTTGTTTACGTTAAACTGTTACATAAAGTTTCGTCTCGGGGAAAACCCCTAGCCGAAAGAAATGTACTCGCTGTGATAGAAATGTCAATATTTCGTTAGTTTCGTTCAGGATATAGTTTCTAGGCAACTGAAATGTCTCTGGGTTTAGAAACAATTATTAATGAAACTAGAATTCAAATCAGTCACTGTTTTGTATAAAAAAGTACTTTTCCAGGCCAACCCTGGGTCATTTAGCTCAAGGCCAAGCTTCAGGAATAACTATTTCTCATTGTCATTGTCATTGTCATAATTGTCATTGTAGATAATATTATATTTAATGATGTTCCTTTAGTTCCAAATTTTCTGAAAGTAGTAAAGGATTTACCTTGAAAAATGTTTATACTTGAGAGCATTCGCATTTTGAAATAGTTTCCGCAAGCTTTCCAATAAGGTCACTTTTTCTGTCTTTCGACTTAAATGGTATCTCGAGATGAGAAAAAAATGTTTTTAAGCATTGTAACATTAAATGTGTTCAATTTATCCTCTAGGTGGAGTTGACAAAGGTCAAAGGCGTCATACGTTATGGGGTGTTTTAAACCAATTTCGTCATTGACAGCGTCAATGAGGTCATTTCGTTCCAAATCCTCTATCAAGCACTCAACGTCTTCTTCCTGATCAATGGAAAATCCTGCTAAGTTTTTTCTGCGCGATGCGACAAGTCGAGAGAAGAAGCTCTTGATTTGGGTTTTAGTTAACCACTCATTCCGTTTAAATCGACGCTGATTTGATGAATCTCTGGAATTTCTCATGTCTCTTTCAACCTCGGCAGGATCGGCTTTACGACCAGTTTTTTCACCAATCACAAACAGTGTTGTAAGGTAATCTTTAACAGCAGGTGAGAATCGTGTATTTCCAGAGTGTTTTTTCAGTGCCCAGCCCTTCTCAAGCGTTTCTGCTTTGTCACTCTTGTTGTCGACAAGAGGTGGGATCGTTGTTTCGCTAGAAGAATCTTGCAACACATCCACAGACTGAAACTTAGTAGCCCAATCTTTTCTGATTGTGTCGTAAACGCTACGTTTGGCCACTTGAATGTGCTTGCCGACATCAAGGTGTTTCTCCAACATTTCGCATGAATCAAAGATCTGAGTACAACCTGGCACGTTGCATTCAAATAGACACGGAGATGCATTTTCCTTCTCTGTTGTTACAGATTTCTTGTTCTTCAAGTCGCGCTCTCTCACTGCTGATTCAAAGAAGTCCTCTTTTGTTTCAAGCTGAGTCGGTCCCTGTTGTGTCACATACATACTACTATAAGGAAACGATTTACCACCAGAATCATCTGTACATATATAAATCTCAATGTTGCCACAACAGCCCCATGCAGTGAAAGAACTTCAGGTGACATTTAGACAATATTTTAGACTTGCCAAGCGATTGGCTGCAGTACGTTTGGAGAGTTCTACTCCTTGCACTCCAGCTGCATTCATAGGCGTACCGGGCGGGGGGGGGGGGGGGGGGGGCCCCCCC